GAGCCTCAACTTAAGAGCTGTCTTAATAATTGACAACTAGAAATATACGAATTAAAGTGAATGATCTGCCGTTTTGGGCACGTTTTAGAGAAAAGAGTAAGATTAAACAGAGAAGGTAATTTCGCTCGAGGGACTAGTTCAATAGATTTCGTGAAAGAATGTAAAACGATCATAAGATTAAACATAAAAAAGGCTGTAGCAATGATTATAAAACAAGATTACACACCAACTTTGGTGTACTTTGCCAAGAAAGTTACTATTACTCAGATGGACTGGACTTATTTGCTACATTGACTGCATAGTTCAGATTCAGAACCATATGGCCCCTACGTGTATAATAATGTGGAGGTTATAAAACAGAAAAACGCAAATGTAGAACAGTAGATTTAAGTTAAGCAAATTTAATAACATAATTAGGTCATTCGAGGCGTATTCCTTGTAATAGGAAGCACATAATGGCCCTCTCAGTAGATTGAAATTACAGGATACCAATTAGAATTCAAGCGGCAATATGTCTGCATTTAGACTAGCATGAAATAAATTCAGAGCCTGTCTGGCTGATAATTAGATTTTAACAAATTTCAATGCCAACACAGTGAAATTTTATGACAAAAATAATGTCCTTAGTTCGACACAGGCAGATCAACTGTCAGCGCTAAAAACAATCGGTCAGTAGCGCTCCTGGATCCTTTAGAGAACTTCTCTAGAGGCTGTAACTCCAATATCACTAAGTAAGAGTATATTTGCATAAGAAAATAATATTTATAAGAAATGTCGTTGCCATGATCTTATAAGATGCGAAGTTGGCTTATTTATTACAGACAAGCGAAGTTTCCGTAGAGGGAGAAGATCTTAAATACTAGGCGCTAATGGTGGACAAAGTGAACTCTTTAGTAGCCTTGAAAGATATAAGTCTAAATAATTCGGACACAGTGTACCTGATAACGAGATGAAGAGAAGTGTAAAACGAAACTAACGTAAAGCGCGATTAAATCTGAATACTCATAGAAGGCAGCCCAGAAACTACTTGCTACACAACATGAAGTGAACTATCTATACACATTTTAAACGAGCTGTAGATCCTTCGAAATGAATTATATGCTTCAATTAAGCCACGCATTTAGAATATGAAATGCGAAGCAAATAACCGAGTACAAGAAATAGTGTTCTGGTAACCACTGCAAACAAAACTGGACTTCTGTGAATCAAAGTCACGAGAGTTGAGTGATAATCCTTGATCTTTATCGCCCCAACTCTAGTAATGCTTCAACCATAAATTTTCTGATTAATTAAATTGGACGCCTAATTAGGGCTATTTTTGCAGTCAAGGCCAAAACATTTCCCATACAATTTCGCTCATAAATCTGCGCCCTGCTTTATTCCGATGTTCATCACATTGTAGTAAACTACACTTGCTTGTCCTCACCGCAACGATTAGTTTCGTTACATCACATGCGCAGCAGTCTTCTAGCACAAAAAGAATCTTCTAACTAATCATAAGCCGGCACACAAATCACACATTCATTCATTGGCGTCTCCCTCGTTGGCTGTCCAACCCCAGCAAGCCATGTCGGTTGTCCTGTTCCAGGCCACTCTTCCCATCATATCCTCCTGCTCTTGTAGCTTCATCATCAACACACACAGCCAACTAGCTTTGCACACCTATGTGTACAACTGCAATTCCACATTCTTCAGGCTCTTATTCTTCTTATAGATTCGGAGGCATAATTCGTCCAATTGAAACCTGATCATTTGAATAATAGGAAAGCAAATGACAAATAAATACCCTAGATAGTACAATATTTCATAGCTGAGGAGAGATAAGATACAGTCAAGTGGAAAGAGTTAATTCATTCTTAAATCAAAATAGTTGCTGTTATGACAAACCCATTTGTATAAGTAATTGGAAAATCTTGGCCTAATGAGGCTGTGAAGAAAGTCTTCATTCATCACGCAAGGACTAGTGAAAATAATGCCCTATATTGGGGTATAGAGATGAAATGCAAGCCAAATAAAATGAGGCAAAGGAAGGCATTGAAAAATGCACTTATTACTTTGTAAGTAAGTAATTTGTAATTTGTATTTAAAGTAAATGAGCTTGTGTCCGGATTAGACGCTTGGAGAGTTTTGCTCAAGCTGAAAGGAATAAACAGCTTCTGAGCTGTTTGGCGAATTTGGCAAAGACTATGAGAATATTTTATTTCATTTATGAAGAGCAAAAAAGGCATCCAGAATAATACCAGATGCAGCTTGAGTCGGCCCTGTCATATCGCTTCCCGCCATTTTGTGGAATGTACTGCTGCTGTTGTTACTGCACAGACCTACAGGCAGTGTGGATGAGGAGGTAGAGGTGGTAGCAATAATAAATTGATGCGTGTTAGGATTGCCTGTTGAGGCAATAACCGATCCAGTGTGACTTGGGCGCGGGGACTGAGCAGAAAGTTGACAAGAGGGCTGGTTTCCGAGGCGATGCAAGGAGAAATTAATACGTCCAGTGGCCGAGGCCCCGACAGTGGCGGAACTGCACACAGAGGAATTAGGAGAGACCGCAGAGGATGACCTCCTTGCTGAGGGAGAAGATGGAAGGACAGAAGCTGACCCCAGGATAAGCAGATGAAATAGGAAAGAACAAATTGTTTAGCAAAACGCGAAAACATGTTTACGGGTAAGAAATTGACATGAATTACAAACAAAACCTCTTTTATCACTGTCCATAAGTTTCGCCGGGATTTTAGTTGTCATCGTCTACATCGAGATCCAACTCATAAAAGTGACGATGCTGGGAAAAAGTCTGGAATTGTACCAAGTCAATGGCTCGTTGCTAACTCAACTACTATGATGGATAACACAACACAGAATACTTTCTTTAATAACCGTTGAGCAGGCATTCGTTTCGGATTCCACCTTGTTAGCATTGCCTTCTGGCTTTAATCGAACTAATCTTTCTATCAAAAACTACGAAAAAAAATAAAATTCAATTCAACAATATTATATCATATGATGTATGCTGATATATCAAAACTACTAACGTCATCTTGATGGCTATATCTAACATAAACGTAAAATAAGCGGAATCCCAAATGACCATGACAAACTTGATGTATGTCTGAGATTTCAACTATCTCACTTTCCGTGATGACATTGAGCAAAGAACGTCTGCCAAAAATAGAAAATCCATAACTAAATTGTTTAGAGACGAATAAAGCTGTCCCAAAATTGGTTGAAAAATACCAACAAACTCAAGCCAGTTGAAATAAATGATTATCATTTATTGCTAAAAATTACGTGGAAAGGAGACAAGACATCATGTGCATGTGTAGTAGGATTAGTGGAATATTGAATAAAGTACAAAGTATTTATACTCTTGTAGTCGTGGCAACAGTTAGTGGTGTCAATATAAGAAACAAGCAATGTGCTATTGTAATAGGGTTGCATATGTTAATCAAGGAGCAGATAATAGATTAACGTGAAGGAAGCAAACCACTAAATCATTATGAACATCGGAGTTCAGGATATGAACCATTTTGTGTTATAATTGAAAAATCATACATTAAAGAAATTTAATTGTACTGACTTTTAATGCGCAGTAATAGTGACCAAGTGTTGGAATTTAGCATAGCTGCATAACTCGAAGACTGCCACATTACATAAACCGTGCAGAAAAGAGGAAAATGAAGCATCAAAAAGGCATCTATGTGAGATAAAAATAATATTTCTGGATTTTATATATAAATTATAAAAGTAAAAGAGCACGAGAGTGAACGTTAGCACAAAAGCCAGCATATGAGGACTAGAGTATTTCAAGAGTTGAGGCTAGCAAGAGGGAAGCTTAAGGACTGTTGAGGAGAACCGATGGACGCTGTCAAGAGAAGACATTAATTATTTGCGTTTCGAATCATTTACTTAAATACTCACTGGACGGAAGACAAAGCTCATAAAATGGAGTAAGAGTGTATATTCGTTAAGTACACGTATTTTTGTGTATGTGCAGATGCGCCCCAGTCTAAGCCAACAATAACTTGCAGTTCTGACCTTGTCTAGGTCATATCAATATCTCATATGGTTACAAGCAAGAGCTACCCACCCAGTCGGAAGATAGCTATAATACAGTAACAGGTTTTCATTGAGAAAAGAAATTATAAAATAGAATATTTGATATTCGGATCAAAAAATCATCAAAACGACGAGGAAACTTAGGGCGCGGACTCAATAAAGAATAAAAAAAGCAAATTTAAAGAATGAACATGAAAAAAAAGATTATTTGTGAAGCAGCATTTATATGAGGGATAACGATAAAGAACTTTAGGATAAAGCGGTTGACAGGATTTTCAGACCGATGAGAACAACACAGTAATAACCAGTAAAGCTAAGGGCATATAAATTGGTTATTATTTTGGCATAAGATTAAATGATGACTATCAAAAATGAAAACGCACATGATAAAAGTAATTCGTATGCAATGAATGCAATGAATAACCTCAAAAAATATTTTAAAGAATACTTGACACCCTTATTAATGAATGTCAATCTAGATATTTCGAAAATAGGCCGTTGAAACCAAGGATTGAGAACAAATAAATAGAGAAGTAACTCTGCGAAGAAAAGTAAGTCTCTAAGAGCGATGTAACAAATAAGATAAGCATTTTTCTAAAAATTTATTTTATATCATTTCATTAAGTGAATAATGAACTTGGATGAGCTAAAACTAGCGCGCTTTAAGATAAAATTTTTATTTTAAAAACATAACAATGAGAATGCGCCAATAGGGCTATGCTATAAAGCGGTTCTAGAACTTAATAATTATTAGGCTTCGTGACTATAAGTAGATCTTGAATACGAGTTATAGCGTTTACCTTGACAACAAAGAGGACATAATGACTACTGCTACATTTAAAAAATGAGCTTGTGCTCGTGATAGAGGGTTACATTTACAAATGACAATAGAAAAATATTGAATCCATAATAAGTACGGGTTAATATATTACTAATTAATAAAACTATATGCCCAAATCGCTGGGTGCAAAAGTCAATTCAATGTCGAAGTTGACAAGCGCGACCACATTGAATAGTATTTAAGATGCAAGAGCTAAGGCAGATCATGCATGATTGTAGGCTCAGTCTAACGAAGTTAAAGAGTTGATCAATACATCTGGCATAATATTATAAATCCAGATAATTGAAGAAGATATGTCCATCCTAAGCTTCAACTACTTTCTTTCAAGATTATCCACATTGGAAAAGTATGTGAGCATAACAACTATTTTGAGATTCATTTTCAGCTCAGCTTTCTTTAAAGATTTGTCAAGTGATGAGTCTACCCAAGCTACGATTCGGAAAAATTTCATCTTAACAAATTTCCCAATTATTGTGTGGGTCCGAC